CCTACATTGTCATACTCGAGTTCAACTGAAGCAGGTATTTTCCATGTTTCTATCTCTCTATTTAGGAATCATTAGGCTTAGGTTTGTGAATAAAAAAATGTAGTACTCATTGCCCTTAAGCTGTACATATGCATAGATTTTATTTAAGTTAACTGAGTTGGGAGAATTTGATTGATGAACTTTCTGAAAAATCTAGGTTAGAAATTAGGGCCAGAGAAATTCTCTCTGGTCTTTGAGAGTTAGATTAAGTTCTTTACATGGTTGGAAACGTGTTGGAAAATGCTATAACTTTTGTGTTGTGAGTTTTTGCTTTAGAGCACGTATGCAGGATTGCCAGATTTGAACAAGGAACGCGCGTTTTTGTTTGTCACAAGGTTGAAGATGAAGCAAGTGGGTTGGGCCTGTGTTGTTCCATGCTTTGGACACCCCCCTGACTTGCTGTTTACGCCCCTCAGCCCATTTGTTTATTTTTTGCATATTTTTCTATTTCTTTTTCATTTCTGACTTTATTTTATTTTTCCTAAACATTAAAAATACCAAAAACATTTTCATACATTTTTCACATTTTATTTTATTATTTTTATTATTTTTTGGACATAGAAATAATTATTAAATAATATATACATTTATTTTCTTAATAAAAAACTTGTAAATACTACAAAAAATATTATATTTTCTTTTATTATTTATATACTTAAATAATATTTTTCTAACATATTTTTATTTTTTGACATTTGTATATATTTTTATTTTATTCTACATAAATAAATAATACATAATATATATATATATATATATATATATATATATATATATATATATATATATATATATATATATATATATATATATATATATATATATATATATATATATATATATATATATATATATATATATATATATATATATATATATATATATATATATATATATATATATATATATATATATATATATATATATATATATATATACTTTCTTAAAACAAATTAGGGTTTCCATCCTTAATAAAAATAATATTTTTCTTATTTTTGATACATTAAATATTTTATTTTTACATACATAAAAATAATACAAAAAACATTTTTTGCATATTTATAATATATTGCATATTTATTTAATTGTCCATTTAAATATTTACTTATTTATTATTTGAACAAAGAATTCAATTTGGTTGTAATAATCTTAGGGTTTTAATTTCTTGCAAATAATCCCCTATTCAAAATTGTATCCCCCTCCCCATATCAATGTTGTAATAGCTTAGATTACTTTTACGTATTTATTGCTTTCAAATATACCATGATAGAGATTAGGGTTTGTATGCAATATCTAAAATCAAAACAAATAGCTAGACCTAATACAAGACATAAAAGCATGTAAATTGACAACACAATGCACACATGCACCCCTAGAGTTTCATCCACTTGTTGCCTTTAAAATGGCCATGGTATGCATGTTGAGTATCTTGGAAAAACAAAAAAAAAAACAAAAGATCATAGTCCCTCGATGACGCTATCTTGGTTGCCTATACAAAATGATCTAGTCCCTCAAACAAAAAACTTCCCAAGATATTTAGCACTATTACTATCATGGTCAATACGATGACCCGCGCCTGTCCCGTTTAACATCCAAATACAAGGTTGTTTACCAAATACAATGGTAAAACAACAATGTAAAAGGGTTAAAAATGTGTAGGAAAGATCTTTGAGTAGATAGGGTAGATGCTCTTAGTTACTTGAACAAAACTTGCAAACATTCTTGTTATTTTCAAAAACACATCACAACACAATTTCAAAACATTTCCCAAAACAAACTTTCAAACATTGAAACATTTTTCAAAAGATAAAAATACCTTTGTATACATTCAAACAAGAATCATTACAAAGGTTGCCACAATGATGGCCTCTTTTCAAAACATTTTTCAAAACCACACACAAAGCACCATTTCAAACAATTGAAAGGCAAAAGCAAGTGATCTAAACAAGTAACTAAGAGCTCATGGAAAACCATGGATGAAAAGGGTGCTAGCACCTTCCCTTTTCATAATCTACCCTCCGAACCCAAGAAAACATCTCAAAGGTCTTTCCTGTGCTTTTTGACCTTTCCTTTGGATAAAATAAAAAGTCGGTGGCGACTCTTGCTAAACTGAAACATTTGCAAACACAAATGCAAAACCTCAAGTCAGTTCTTCCACCGCATCACAGAATCATTACAATCTTCCTGACCCTTCACAACATCATTAACCTTCCCATATCAACCTACTACCATTGGTGGATCTCATCCCTTGACCATTGATTTACAAGCCTTGTTGTCCATGGACTTGATGAAAGCCACCATACGAGCTTTCCAATAATCATAGTTGGTTCTATCAAGATGGGTGGTATGTTCCCAAACCCTTCTTCCTTGTTCATTGTACCAGAATGTAACTTCCTTGAATCTCACTCAGAGTCAGAGCAGGATGCCTGCTCTGATACCAATTGAAATTCTGGTATTCATATCACAAATTTCCTAAGAGATATCAAGACATCGATCTCCGAAAAACAACACAACGAACAATTTAAAACAATAAATTATGTATAAAAGTAAAGAACACACATAATTATTAACCCAGTTAGGTGTACAACAACACATACTCTAAGGGCTACCAAGCCAGGGACGAAGTCAACTAGATAGTGTCAATTTGTAGACCCACATCAAACTTTCACCTAATTTACAATCTACTCACTTAATCACTACTCATTCTTAACTTCTACCTAAGACTCACCTAGGTATGAGACCCTTCTCAAATCCCTTCCAATCCCAGAACAGTGACTGAATAGTTCTAAACACTTAGAAAATAACAGAACTCACACTTCAAAGACACACAATCATTCACTGCTTAAAAGCTTTAGAATGAATGACAGAACTTAAAACTCAAAAACATAGTCCTACTCTTTTATCAAGATGATAATCGAGAGGCTCATAATAAACACACAAACCCTAACAAAATACAACGTAAGTTCCACACCAAAAATAGGGTTTTGACAATCTATTTAAAGCACACACTAGATTGAATTGGGATTTAAAATCGCAGTTAGATATGCAAGTGAAGCTGTAGAGTAATCTCCTCAAAGATATGACATCAATCATTAGTTTCCTAAATTATCTTCATAATTAGAAACTAAGAATACTCCTTGAATTCAGCTTGAATTTCTTTAATCTTCAAACCGAGCGCCACATAGGATAGCATAATATTTTCAAAATATTTTACACCTATAACAAACTAAAACATTCAAATGTCCAGCTGTATAAAATCACGATGTCGAGAGAAACTGTATAGGACATCGCATTCGACATGTTGCTCCAGTTAATAGAACATCTTATTTCAACATATTTATGTTAAGTTAGTTTTACCAAACATAATTCCAATCACAAAGATAGAGAATTAACAGTAAGATATGCAAAGTAGAGAAAGTAATTCCATGAATATAATAGGGTAAGGGGACCCTTAGAGCCGAGCGAGACTTATGGTATAGTTGGGAGTTCCATTAAGACGTAGCATCTCAGTCCATTCATTTTGATTATTTTCAAGTAGCTTGGGAAAGGATAAAGGTAAAAGCAATATAGCTTAAATACCTAAAAACTTTTAATGTCTCATATTTCGTATTTTCCATTGTGCTTTTGTACTAGTTGTACTAACATTCATTTTACATATGTATCATGTTTTACTATTTTGTCGATTATATGTATCTCATCTAAACACTTGTGTATGAACTCGGTACCAAATTTAATGCTTTGAATAGTATTAGTCTAGACAAATATTATTTAGAGTGTTGCAATTTATTCACTCATATCTAGTTTACTGACATTGATGGAGAAAATAAAACTTAAAACTCCGAATTTTTGCACACATTTTAAAATTTATTTATGCAACCATTATCATATCATATGAATCTTTTTCCTTATTGCAACACTTTTCACAATACAACGCAAGTTTGATGAGCTTAAAATAGATGCAATTGTGTACTTTATTATTTATTCATAGTAAATCCACATATTTTAATGAACTACAACACCCATAGTTTTAAAATGTGATCTGAGTTTGAAATTACGTCTGCAATATTACTGATGTGGTAGTATCTACATGTATTCGGCCGCACTGTAACTCCATCAGATGATTTCAACTAAGTATGTTCAAATTTCTCATAAAAAATTAGAATTTCGGAACCTAAAATTCTAATTTTTTATAACGAAAGATTTTTTTTTTATTTTTACAATCGCTCATGAACATATTTCTAGCATATCTTAGTATTTATTTCAAACACATCTCAGTCTGTATTTACAGGGTAATCAAACAGTCTTTTGTTACAAATAAATAATACATTGGCACCATGATGCCACTTTATGTAATTTATGAAAGTTTAAAATTATTTCTCCTTGCAACAACCACAATTTTAACTGCACCGGTAAGTGCAAGTTTGAATCATGAATATACCTCTTCTACTTAATTTTATGGAACAACTTAATCAAAACAAAATACCAAACAAAACTCTTGCACATTACATGGTTGTGTAATTGTGGTCATAGTTATTTATGTTCATAAAGGAAGATTAATTAACAATATACTAATAATCTAGGAAATTAAAATGTTAAATGAAGTATATATAGTGTTAACTTTGTACACTTTTTTATATGACAATTAAGATCCATGATGATTGTAGAGATCAGGAAATTTCCTCACTCATAATTATTTTCAACAATTATTGGGTGTGATTCTACTTCTAGTATTGGAAAATATACTTGCTGGGAAATTAAAACATAACAAAGGGAAAGGTCACATGTGATGCAAATTAAAAGATTTTATATCTTATTTTGTTTGATACAACAATTCAAGAAAATATCAAAGGGACTAAAGAACTTATCATTTATAGATCAACATACAATTTTCTACATACATGATTATAATCAAATTTATTATTGTTCATCAAATATTTCTATGACACCACGTACCAATTCCTTTATTCTTCATCATCACTTTGTTGTTCATCATCTGATGGAAGTGAGATTTCATGTCCTGGTGGCAGGAAGGCATTGATTCCCAAAAGTAAATATTTGTGCTCTTTAAACAGCTCCATCAATCTTTCTTTGACATCTTCAAGGTCAATTCTTCTGGCTTTGCAATCATTTAGAATTTTTAAGAATTCAGCAAATTTTCCCCTCTTATATTTAAATGTATCATTTACTTCCATTACAAACTGTATTGCATCTTCGAATGTGAGATTGTTTCTGGAGCGGCTCATCTTGAAGATATAACTCAAAATTCAAAAGATTTAAAGGGAAGAAAGATGATGCACACTGACTAGGGTTTCAATAAAATGATTATGCGCAGCTGCGCGATTAGGGTTTTAATAAGAATGTACGAATGAGAAGGAGGACGAAAATATAAATAGTGTTAAAATGTAAAATAACTAAATTACCCTAAATCTAATTATAATATTTTATTTTATTATTTCTTTAAACAATGTGCTTAGAACATCACCAATGATATCTAAAAGCACTTTTAAGAGATGATATGATCTCTTATAGGTTAATCAAATGTCTTTGATTTAAATTTATTCTTGAGAATGCAATAATATTAAATCTCTTGAAGAAATATTTTTCGTCTATTCCAACTCAAAAAATTAGTCTATATAATTATGCACAAATAATATACTTGATTTATAAAAAAACATCAATATTGATCTTTAGTAAAGAACTTACTTTGAGTTTCGGACCTGATTAATAAATGGTCCTTACAACGATGGAGTATACTAATGAACTTATACACATTTTAATACCATATAAAAAAATATTTAAATTAATGATGATGTAATATAACTTATAAAAAAAATCAAAAGTTAATAATAATATCGTAACTCATTTAAAAAATAAGAAACAAATCTGTCCCAACATCTCCTCTCAATTATTAAATAAAAAATCATTTTCATTGAGTAAAGGGAAAGTAAAATTCAATTTCCCTCAAATTTAAAATGCATTGAAAGGAGTTAATGAGAATTTGTTAATTAAAAATAAAACATTTAAAAAAATGTATAGTTTATTTAGAAACAAAAAAATATGTAAGAAGAAAGATACGAAGCAATAATAGAAAAGGAAAAAAATGCACTACATATTATTATCAAGGAAAAAAACTAAAATGCTCTTGATTTTCTTTTTTTTGCAAAACCCAATTTAACCTCTAGAAAAAATAAACAGAATGTTTAGTTTGATTGATTAAAAAATATAAGAAATAAAAGAAAGATAAAAGAAGAGAACATGAATTATATATTTTTTAATACAAGAGAAAATGAAAGTAAAAGATGCGAGAAATAAATGTATTTATAGGAAAGAAAAAAAGATTTGAGAGGGATAAATAAGCAATTTGAGGTTTAGGGTTAGTGATTCAGGTATTTATCTAATAAGTTTTGGAAAAATATCGAGTATGAATTTGTCTACTGTTTGATTGAGCTGATTTTTGGATACAAGGTTCGTGAGACACAATGATGCGGTTTCGCTATTCAGATATTTAAAACAAGGTTTGAGGAGGGAGATATTGTGTTCGAACGACACTGGTTTTTTTAAGTATGCACTACTAGGGTTTGAAAGAAAACCTAATCGTCGTGTGCTCCTCTGGTGTCGGCCACCATCATATAGACCTTCTGTGGTCGATTCTTCTCTCTCGAATAACTATTATGTTTCCATCAAAATCTCAAGCACAAAATAAATCCTTCTTACAAGCTCTTCAAAATGCGTGTGACATACCCGTTTCTAATTTTGTCAAGCCATGCCTCAAAGCTAAGCATCACTCAATCAAGATACCCGAAGAGGTTTGCAGAGTAGGACTCGAATGCTGCAATAATAATTTACATGGGGGACTGAATAGTAGTAAAGGTAACATGCCATTGAAGCATCAAAATTAAGTGACAAACAACTAAAGTTATGGACTACAATCACTAATTAGAATTTAACTCTTTTCAGATGTGGTTGCTTTGAATTTTCATTCAAACTAAGGGTGGATCCCAAAAAAAATTAGAATGTAGGGAAATTGAATGCAAATAACTCGCACATGCGTTTATATATGTGGAAGCCATACTTTATACTTGAAAATTTGAAGATTACACATGCTAAATATGGTTAAGGTTGCTAGGACTTCCTTTAGAGTATTGGGTGCCAAATACTTTATTTCCAATTGCTTATGGTATTGGCAGTCCTTTATCAATTGATGAGCTTACAAGAAAATAACTTGAATACATTTTGCACATGTGAAGATAGACCTTAACATGTTAGATACTCTCCCTGATCATATTATGGTGGAAGGAAGGGGTTATGCATTCTTTGATGAATTAAAATACGAGATTTTACATCTTTTTTATGATCAGAGTGTGCATGTTGTTAATACTATTGGTTAATGTTGATAGCTGAAAGAAAATAATATTGATAAGCCTATAATTAAATATTCTATAAGATACACTCATTAAAAGTCCAACCAGGCTATACTACTTTATGATAGTGTGAAGGACATAGAGAATGATGAATTTGTAAATGTGATACTGAATGACATGGTGAATGATTACTCTATATATTTGAATAAGGAAGAAAATCTTGCTCTTGAGAATGACATAAAGAAGAATGACTCTATGGTGGCCATTCATCCAGAGAATGAGTTAATGCTAATGAGGAGGAATTATCATAAATAGGCCCTCTGAATGAAAAATAAATAATGGTATAGTCTCCTAATTATTTGAACGAGAATTTGGTGATTGAGAAAGATTTGGATGATGATCGAAGGAAGCAACCTGATTTTGATCTTGCGCTTATAGAAAATAGTTGTAAGAATTTAGTGAGAGATCTCTATGATGATCTGAATTTAGAGAAGAAGAATAATATTTGGTGTGTTAAAGATAATATTCTTGAGCCACATATGAAAAATCTAATTTGATCAAGAAAACGGATAGTGGAAGGCATTAACTTACTCAGTCTAGAATGGAAATTAAAACCCGATCCATGCTGGGTAAACACAAACCACCCAATGAAAGCCATTTATTGGAGTTCTAGAGAAGTAGGAAACCTTGATACTAGGTGTTGTACCCCAAAGTTTGCCCTCCCATTTCCTCAACATTTTCTCACCACTAGACCCTTGGAGTTCAAGAACAAGTTAGGGTTTGCTCTGCTCAAGACTCCTCCTTGCACTGTTGACCCAAATTAGGGTTTGTGTTTGCACAAAGATGTTTTGACCTAAAAGGCCCAAAGTGACTTTCATGCTTCATTTTGGACTCACAAGTTTATCCATACCAAGTTTCAAGCCTTGATTCCAATCTTTGTCCAGTCAATTGGACAGTTGACCTAGAAATCAGCTGTATTGGGGAAAAAGTAAGCTGTGGTCAATTGACAGTCAAACCTCATGATTTTTGACCCACATCAACATTATTAACTCATATGAACCATTTGGTCAAGATTGGATCACAATTCCATAAGAAATTTGATCAGATCACCAAAAGGGCAAAATGGTCATTTTTAGGGTTTTGACTGCACAAAGGCAATTTTTGACTGTTTGACCTAACCAATGGCAAACCAAGCTCATATATGGACTCAAGGACTCAATGGCATTGTCTTGACATGTTAAACAAGTTCAAAAGATCCCAAATGCACAAGATTGACAGATGAATTTTCCAGTCAACTGAGTCAAATTTGACTGTATACTGAAAAGTCAAACTTTGACTTTTTGGTCAAAATCAAGTGTCAAGATTCATTTTTCATCAAAACATGTCAAATTATGAAACTTGTTCATCAAGAAATCAAAAATCACAAATTAGGGTTTGAAATGAAGAATTTTCATAACTTAGAATTTTTCCAAGTTATAAAAATAACTAATTTTTTCCTAACTTTGTCCCATTTTTTCATCAAGATGAATTTGAATTCAAGGAAAACTCAAAACATGAAAGTTGTATTCCATTGCAAAATCTAAAACTTTGATTCACAAACTTTCTTCAAAAGAAGCTTGTAGCTCAAGATATGATTTTTGGAACAAGGGTGCAAAACATTCTTAACTTAGAAAAATTTTGACATATTCTAGGCAGGATTTTTGCCTAACTTCATGGCCACTTTTCACATGCTTCCACTTGGAATATCAACTTGCATTACAAAGATGGATTGTAGTACATATTCTAAGCTTTCCAAAATGTCCAAGAACTTCTCAAACAACCTTGTGGTTAGGGAGAATCGAATTTGGCAATATAGACAAAAGTCACTTTGTTCATGGGCCATCTTCATGTTCATACACTTTGCAATTTTTCAAATCAGCATGAGCAATCTAGTTACAGGCCTCTAATCCTTTTCTTACTCAATAATTAAATGCCAATCCATTGTGCCAAGGCATTATTTTGTGCATTTGGTCATTGTATGAAGAATTAAGCCTTAATTAGAAAAAGCAAATTATCCATTTTTGAAAAGTTACACTTTATGTCAAGTTTGCAAATCAAGAGGTACAATGCATATCTTTGGACACAAGATTCATGGACATAACACACTGATCAAGAGAGATTGGTGCAGCATGTTTAGGGGGCCTGCACAAGCCTAGAAACCAACTTGCCAATTTTTGCTTACATGAGAAGAAACATTGCATAACTTACAACAACACACATTGCTGCAACCACATGCCTAGACAAACTTGTTGAACACATTCCATACATCAAACCTGAGCTAAGGCACGAGCTAACTACCTTCTATACCTCCCTAAACCTCAAAACACCATTGTACTGCACAAAAACAGGGCATCCCTGCAGTTTGAGGTCCATAACTCAATCCATTCGTGCGCCTTGGCCAAAACCAGTTCATACACACTCCATACCACCTATACAAACTATCCCAAGCATTGGACACGAACTGTAACACCCCTAACCAACTTCACCATTTTCACTTTTTTCTGTTTTATAGGTTGACTTCCATAGCTTGATTCATTTAGTTTCAAGGCAAGCTAAAGGTTGGAGAAGCATCCCTGAACTTCAAGCAAGCTGTACAAGTCCTCACATTATCTTGAAAGTGCCTCCATTGTCATACACGATCCAAGCTGAACAGGTAAGTTCATGGACTTCTATCTCTCAATCTAGGAAGAGTTAGGTTTAGATTTATGAATGAAAAGTGAATTTTTTTTATTAATAACCAAGTATTAAAAAAATATTTCGCAAATAACCGGGTTTCGGAAAAAATTACGCAAATAACCATGTTTGAGATGGCTCCACAAAGGAGGAGCCATCTCATTTGGCGC